GATTTTGATGATTTTTTTAAAATCTTCATTTTCACGGCGGATTTACGAAAAAAAATTACAGGAATAAAAAAACTTATATTAGTTTCAGGGCTTTAAATGTTCATGAAAATGCACTCATTCAGAGTTGGGAGAGGGAAGCACCACGCCCCTCAATGTAGCACAGTCGTGGGATGACTGTTCGACAGAGCCTACATCTCAGTGGTGTATAAAAAAATAACCATGAAGGAGATGGCGGGGTCGAGTGAGTGAGCGAACCGAGTGAATAGAGCTCCTTCTAACCTAACCTGTCCAAGTCGGGATGCCCTAAGTCTCGAGCTCGCTTCGCATCACATCACATTATTATGTGATTTTAAAAAAAAGTTTTGTTTAATTGTTCCTTTTTTTGTGTAGATTAACAAAAAAAATATAAACATTGTTTAATGCTTTGCGAAAGTTATGAACAATTATATTCGAAGAAGTGCATTTATGATCACATTCAAAGTCATAGAACTATAATATAAAGTCTTCAAGTGAGATATTTTCCATCAATTCGCCATAAAAACGAAGATTTTAAAAAAAATCATCGAAATCCGATAATTGTTCGATTTACTAGAGCCAAAAAACGAGGGGACTGCAAAAGTATCAAATTGCCAAAAATACCTAGAATTATTCATGAGGCTACTGAAATTAAAACAAATCCTAACTTCAAAAGAGTAGCCGGCTGGGTGCTACTATCTGCTTGGAATCCTGTAATTAATAAAATTAGATCCAAACCCAGGCATACTACTGCAACACTTCAAGACACAGTATGTTCATTCCACATATGTTGAATCACAATTAAGAATTAAAAGTTGAAGGAAATAATTTAAAGTTCAAGAAAATCAACATGTCAAACATCTCATACAATTAAAAATAAGTTAAATTAAATGCAATAAAATCTGTGAAATTGGTGTTTTTTATATTTTTGTAAATGTATAATAAAATGTAAATGTATAATTATTAAATATTTGTGTAAATGTAGAAATTATGATTAGTAAATATGTTAAATTTATTTTGAACTACTTCATGTTATCAAACTTTTTATTTAAAACCAACATTTTTATTATATTTGTGGTATTCATGGCCCTAAACTGAAATTGTTAATCCAGTTCACTGTAAAGAAACTAAGGTAAGCAAGATAGATGAGATAATGAATTGAATACAACATTTCGAAGCCTGAATAGTATTTAGTTATATATGGAAACTACCTTTAAAAAATTATGAAGTGACCAAAAAAGTAAAAGGTGTACCTTGTAAAGGTGTGTCTTGGCCAGGAGGTGCACCATCTTTGTGTTTGTGTTTCTTGTGTTTGCTCTTATGCCTCTTGGGTGGTGTTGCGCTTACATAACGGTATTGCTCTGGTAATGGTCCAGGATGAAGTCTGAAACCTGCTAACTGTGCACTAGTCAGTGGCAGCAATTCTTTACCACCGATAGGTCTTTTGGCTATTACTGATCCTAAAGTGCTGTTGTCCTCCTGACCAGGGCCATCAACTATGCCTGGCAAGTTAGGTAAGAATGATGACAATGACTCCTTCAATTTTTTGCCATTAAATTTACTATAAGAGTGTTCTAGGCCATAATACGCCATTAAATTAGTTGCACCTGTTAGTTCACATTCTCCTGTAAATCAAAACAAACGATAAAATGTAGATTTATTCGTTTACTGATTAAAATTTAATATGAGGTTTACTACCTGGAGGTTCTTTCATCAAATAGAAAGGGCCACTATGCACAATTGCAGGATTCTTGCCGAGTGAAATAGTAGTTTTAAGGGTTCCCGAAGAATCCTGACGTGAAACAACTGGTGACCTCCCTCCTCGAGGTGAGGATTTCGGTGAATAAGGTTCTACTTTTCTAAACTGATCAGACATCATCTTGAATCAGCATTGTCTAAACGAAAGACATAAACGAAGAAATTTTAGTAAATAAAATAAAAAAACTAAAAATAAGTATCCCTTTCTACGAGACGTATGTTGTAACCACACACAGATAACTACTAGTCAGAGACACAGACAAAATGTTTTCTTTTACTTTTTAAATAATAATAATTATACCATAGACAGAGAAACTATACCGTAGACAGAGAAACCTATAGACTAATGATCCGCGTGGCCTTGAGTGAGAAAGAACGATAACAAATTTTTAAGTTATAGAATAATCTTTATGACTTTTAAACACATTTAGATAAACATTTTAATTGTTCTAAGAACTGAACTGAACAAGATTCACCAATCTTAAGCTCACAAAATACTTTTTTCTCACTTAAATCAATTTGTAAACTCCTTAAATCGCTACGCTGTCAAAGTTGTTTAGCAAACTGTAGAGTTTGCTAAACAAAAAAACCGGCACGGAGAAAGGGACAAACAATCACACCACTCTATCTCATTTCTATGCAAGACGTATGCATAAATCTATCTTTTTCGTGTGCGAATGCGAAAGAAGGCGTCAATTCGTCTATAGGTTTTTCTGTCTACGCTGTCTACGAACTATACATTATTAAGATTTTTGGCTTGGATGCTTGTTTTTTTTAGTCGCGTACTCATTTCATTGGAGAGATAAAAATAGCCAAATGAGTGAGTTTGAAAGAGAACTGATATTGTTTCTAATCAAGAATATAAAAACCAGATAGGTCACTTCTGAGTATCGTCAATTCAAATAGTGTACATATTTCTTGTTCTAGGGAATGGTAAATTAACTATGTCATTATTAATTATAAGTAGAGATGGGCCAAATTAGGTATTCGGTATATTCGGCAGCATTACCGAATATTCGTATTCGGCCGAATATTCAAATATATTATATATAGTATGTATATATATAGTGTCAAATATATTGCAATGTACGAATTGAGTAATGCGATGTTTTTTTACTGTTGAAAGTATATTTTATTTATGGGTTAAATCTACTTACTCAAGAGTGCCTCAAATGCATATATCTATACATTTCTGTTTTAGAGGAACTGTAGATTTATTTCCGATTATGGCAAATAGAAACTTGATAAAATGTTTTTGGAATCAAACAAAGAAACATTACATTACATTAGTACATTTGACTTTACTTTGGTCGTCAGTTTCTCTAAAATAAGTACAAATGGTAAATCTCCTGCCGCTCATTTTAATCATATAATTATCAGTTTTCACTAACAATAAAAACACGAAATACTTTTTTTATCACTGTGGCCGAGGAAGGAAAAGAGGAGATCTCCCGCCGGGCAAAGTGTTCTGCGCGGGGAGCGGCCAACACACTCCATGTGATAGTTCGGAGATGTTCTATATTATATACTGTTTTTGATTCGGAATTTTGATAGCGTGAATTAGGCTTCGGTATGTTTGGCTTGCGGTGACGACAGCGCCGCCACAATCACAAGAATAGTCAAAACATAAGCATATGCAGGCAATTTGCTCTGTACTAGATGAAGCAATAACATGTCAGGTGTGGCGGAGGAGCGAGGGGCAGAGCCTGGCGCTAATCCCGCGCGCTTTTCGGTAACAAGTTTACGTGATAAATTGGTTGGGTGCCGAGGTGACCCTGCCGAATAATTTTCGGCCGAATATTCGTATTCGGTGAAATCCATATTCGGCCCATCCCTAATTATAAGTATAATTTTTTTTGTGGCCTAACGAAGTGGTATATACGTGCGTATATAATTGTTACAGCGCTTTGTTTGATATTAAATATTTAATAAAATCAATCATATTTTTTTATTTTCCTACCTATAATGCATTTTTACTACTTTATACATTTACTACGTGAACTCATGAGTGAATCGAATTTTTAGGCATAAATAACGGTGTACGGTATAATGTCATATCTGATTAACTATTCTACATCGTTCCTACTACACAAGACCACGCACTGTCGCAAATTACATTTGTCTCTTTTACGCTTGCGATAGTTTAATCATGCCATCCCACTTTGTCGTCTAATCGTAATTTATTGTGCTATTGCAATATTGAGTTATTTATGTGTGCGATAGTGTGCTGTTTTTGAAGATCGAATATTGTGTAGGTAACCTATCTACACCTTTTTACTTATAATATCATTGCCTATGGGAGATTGTCCTCCTTACCTCTATATTCCATGTATCATATAATATACTACTCTCTACTGATACATGCTATATTTATAGCCCTAATTACAACAGTATACTGTACATGGAGGTTCAGGAAGTTGGCACCCGGAAATAATTATTAAAAATGCGACTAGTATAAATCTAGACGAGAGACGCTGCGGCTGAGCTTAAGGAATTATTTAATTATTTATTCACGATGCAAATAAATAACTTATGGATAAACTGATATCAGATGCTGTTTGCGCATGTGAAAATCTACAAATTTACATTGTTTAATTATTCTTTTACCGTCATTTTTAGGTAAAAAATAAAACTTTATTATTTCACAGCACCCGCCTAATTTTTTTAATATCGAAACAAATATTTGACGCGCAAACAAATAATTATTACCGATAAACATAATTTTTATGCGCAATCGATTTATACTATAAATATAGTATAAATCGATTGCGCATAAAAATGTCGCATTTTTATATTTCCGGGTGATAACTTACTGAACCTTGTAAATGGGCTGTAATTGCTCGCTAGAAACCGAACGATTCTTGCCTATGCACCCAACCACGTGTTGGCGAATGTATTCGTCATTGCAAAAATTAAAAATAAAACATTCAGAAAAAAAAGGTTAGTCTATGGGACGTGAATTAGCTTCTCGTAATGCGCTACGATTTTCGATTATGTGTTTGGAAATAAACACCGGAATAAGTTTAATTTAATTTGTTTGTGATTAAATAAATTATTTGAAACATTCAAAATGTGTATACATTGTGATAAGCGTCGTACAAACGCAGTGCAACATTTCTGATATTACAATCCTCGCTCAGCGAAGTGACGCCATTTTACGGGAATGACCAGCCTGCGGCTGCCTCTTATTAGGCCTGATGTAAGCAGTGCTCTATTCAAACGGATGCATGGAAACGAATCTTTATTATTGTACTCGTACTGGATGTACGATTTCAGAGGTATGTTCTCAGTTTTCAATGTTATTATTGTGACCATATTTCAAATCGACGTCTTTTGTTTCTAGGCATATTTAGTAAGCACGTGTTTTAATTTTTGCAGAAAACTATGGAAGATGGTAATATAACCAATACCAGAGACGATAAAATCGGTTCAGCGTCACTGACGAACTTTTACGTCGATCGACCCGCAAAATTGACTACAAACGGGCACGATTTTGTGGGCGAGCCGTCCAGTCCCCCAGAGTCGTTCTACGACCCAAGGCGAGCCAGCGCTGACGCTTTACAAGAAGATAAGTTCCGAAAACGCATTAATCCATTACGAATTCATCTTGGAAAAAGACCGTTTGTTGACAGTGCTGTTCCTTATAATAGTGTGGTCAAAAAGAAAAAGCATTTTGTGAATAAGCCAAGTGAAGGTGGTGCATCCAAACCTTTAGCCCCACGTCCACCTAAACTTTTATCTAAACGCAATGACCGTAATCCATTTCACAATGTTACATCACAAGGAGATAGCTCGATGGAAAATGAACACGACAAACCAGTGCCACGTCTTGTACCTAAGAGCCAACTGTTGCAGTTCAAAAAGGGTAAGACTGAAAAAGGGGCCCAGTTGAAGGAATATGCCCAAAGTTTAGGGTTACAGCCTATGGTGAAATTCAAGTGTCGGAAATGTTGTTCCATGTCATTCAAAACATTAGCTATGTTAAAAGAACATCAGTTGATATGCCGTGCTCAGGCAAAAGAACCTGCATTGAGTCCAGAGTCTGCTCCAAATTCTGATAATAGTTCTGGTGGTCCTTCAAGAGTTACAAGAAAAGTTTATTTATGCTCAGCTTGTGGAACATACTATGAAAATTGGAACCTATTCCTTCATATGAGGGAAGTACACAATAGACACATTTGCTTATTTTGTCTGGGTATGTTTTCTAAAGCTGAGAAACTATCAGCTCACTTAACAAACAAACATAATGTACAGGAATTCAACTACAATAACAAGGAAGAGTTTTTTAGTGTTTACAATGGGACTTTGTATTTAATGTGCTGTGCGTGTGATGAAATTTGTAGTGAGCAGGATGACTTCTTTAATCATGATTGCAATAATGTGAAACCTAAACCTGTGCCTGTACTGGTTAGTAAAAAACCTAATAATGTAAAGTATGTCAAAAATGGCAATGACACTTCTAAAACCTGTTCAACTATACTCACTAAAGAGTTATTAAGGCCCGTTAGTGATAAAATTGAAGCCAATGATGTAAAACCTGAGACAGTCGCAACCCATAAGGCTATGATAGAAAATAGTGACTGCGAGCCTGTAAATAGTGATACGAGTATTAGTTCTGATAGTTTAACTACAACTAGCAAAGCCACAACTAATGTTATAGACTCTGTGATAGGAAAAGATAGTTCAAATATAAAACCTGGGACACCTGAGCATCGGACTGGCACATTAGAGACTAATAGGTCATACTTGCCGAATGGCAATGACAGCAAAGAACATTCAGATGAAAATGATTCACCACTTCCAGATGAAATACATTCACCAGTGTCACATCTCCCTGCTAATGGAGAGGAAAGAATAACTCAAGCACCTGAGAGAGAAAAAGAGGGTGGCATCAAATTGAAATTAAGTTTAAATAATGCAAATTCTCCTGTAATTATTAATTCTACTGTAGATCCTACTGTTGGTCAACAATATGTTCAAAAGCCACCATCACGTGTCAGAAGGCCACCAAAAAGATATGAAAAAGATACTCTACGAGAGCTACAGACCCCCACAAGACTACCATCTATCAAAATGACAATTTGTGATAAAGCTGACAGTCCTTTTGTGAAAACTACCATAATTGAAAATAACAGAGAAACCACACTCATGAATAATAGTATAGAGTCAGCTCCATCATTATCTAATGATACTGAGCCTAAAGTTGAAAGCACAATAAAAACAACTATCTATGATAATAATTTAGAGGAAAGTAATACTTTGAACAGGGTTCCAAAGCTTACTGTTAGGGTCCCTAAGGAGTTCTTGGATAAAGATTCATCAAGTGAATATTCCTCTGACAGTGATGCTGGGGAGAAATTAACTGTAGCTGACCAAAATATGGCAGAAGACCACCAAGAAAAAATTAAAGAGCAATCCCCAGAAAATACAATAATGGAGGCGAAATTGCCCATAGAAGATACTAAAGTAAAAGAAGAACCAGAACAACAGTTAGATGAAAAAATACAAATCACTGATGAAAATATTCATCCAGAAATAGAACCTAAGACTGAACCTAAAGAAGATATTTTAAATGTAGAAGAGTCTTCTGCTACTGATACCACACCTATAATAGAGTTAACATTAAATAGACCATTAGATAAATATCCACTCAAAGATCTTTTGAAGGTCTTTTTAGCTTCAACAGTTATCAATTGTATTTATTGCAACCATGCCCGTAAGATTGCTGTGGATTGTGAGCAACTGGCACTACATATGATAGCAGAGCATCGGTTTTCTGCCACCGTGGATAGCATCACAGCTGAAGAACTTATGCCTCAAACAATTGCAGCTAAAGTGAAAGCAAGGGTAGAGGAAGCTTGTGCAGTTTTTATAAACCTTGACTCCTATGATAGTATTGATAAATGTGACAATGTGCAGTATAACCATATATTTGAATGTTTTCATTGTTTTTTTAAAACTGCTGTTCTTAAAGATCTCTATTTTCACAACCGCAAAATGCACCAGAAAACTATACTTCTTTGCATTATGTGTAAATCTAATTTTTATACTTATAGTGAGTTAATATGTCATTTATGTCCAGGAACCTATGATTCTGAGTATGAAAATAGGTTTAGATGTTGCTTATGTAATGTAGATACTATATCATCATCCTTTAGGTTAATGGTACATCTAAGGAAAATTCACCACACTTGTGATGTTTGTTTAGAATTTTGCCAAAGTCAAGCTCGTTTGTCAAACCATGTTTGGAAACATAAACTGCACCACCTGTGCTACCGTTGTGGTATCGCATACAGAAATAAACCTGATATCACAAATCATCTGTTCTGGAAGCATGGGACGGAAAGTGTGTTGTGTAAAAAGTGCCTTCAGAAAAAGTGGCCGCATGTCTATCATTTTTGTACGCCTCCAGCTATATTTGTTTGTGAGGAATGTAGCTTACAATTTACAAGAGCTGTATATCTCAAAGTACATAAAAGATTTCATTCTGAAGAGTATCCGCACGCATGTACCGAAGAAAACTGTACTGAAAAATTTGTTTCTAAAAAATTGTTAGCAAAACATATGGAAGAACATAAAAAGAAATTACTTGGTGAAAACTTAAGTGAAGAGAAATTGTCAAGTGATATACCTATTGAAGTAACCAAGGAGCCTATGCCAGTTGTTGATTTAATTGATGAAATACCTAAGGAGGAATCAGGATCTTCTGAGATAAAAACAGAGGCTGCAACAGGGCAGGTTTCCAAGAAAGCTAAAAAGAAAAAATTAAAAGACAAAGATGCATTATTATTAGATGTAAATTTGCCAGCATTAAACCTTTCTGAAAGTGATAGTAGTGATGAATCTGATAGTGGCATTCCACCATCAATAAAAGAAGAAGTAACAACAGATAAATTGGATGAAGAATCGCAAGAGGAAAAACCTGTTATCACTGACACAAAAGACACTATAATCCCTGATGCTGCACCACTGTCTAAAATTGAACGAGAATCAGAACCACCGGAAGAAGAAAAGCCTGACGAAAAACAAGTTTTAGAGATATGGGACAATTTTAAAAAATATCAAGCTAAAGTTGAGAAACTAAAAGAAAAGACACCTCCCTTAGTTCCTATTAGAAAACATGTATGTGAGTCTGATCACGACTATTGTTTGATACCGATGGATATGAATGGCGATGAAGACATTTTTGATTCAGAAAAGAAAAAAATTAAAAAATCGCCTAAGAAGAAGCACGGCGGCTTATCGTCATCTAGTAGTAGCAGTAGTGATAGTGACTCGAGTTGTTCGTGCGGCTCCAACTGCAGTTGTTCTTCTAGCAGCGGATCTTCGTCATCCAGTTCATCAGATTCAGATTCATCAGACGAGTCAGGCAATGAAAAGAAAAAGAATAAACAATTAAAGAAATTACCAAACAGACGAATCAGTAACGGCTCTAATGTAGATGTTATGGGCATGACTGAAACACCTGTTTTGGTACCTGAAAAAAACCGAACCTCTTATAGCGGAGAGTGACTTGGAAACCGAAGAGAGTGAAACAGATGAGGAATTTTATGATGAGAATCCACAACGAATTGCAAATAAATTGTATGCTGAAAAGCGTAACCAACTTATGCTTTTAGCTTCAGTAGCACCATCTGACGGTGGCTCTATGTCAGGAGATGTTAGTCGTGCCACCACACCAATCAAGGAGGAAACAAAACCGAAAGAAGAAGCGAGTGCAGGTAATGAACAACACGGAAATGATACTAAAGAGAAAACTAGTAGTAGTAGTAAAAAGCGAAGTAAAAAGAAAAAGAGATCAAAGAGTTCTAAGAAGCATGCACCCATTAAAATTAACATTTCCAAAGATGTAATCACTAAGCCAGAAGTGGAAGCTTCGCCGCCACTTTTTCCGAATAAAATTACAATATCATTACAGTCCAACACAGTTCAAATTCCGGAAGTGCCGAAGGCATCGCTTGCGGTCCCTAGTAACACGTCCACGCCCAAGGCTGCACCCCTTGAAAAGAAACGCGCTTCAAAGCGAAGACGCGTCCCCAATAAATTTTATGGTTACTCAAGTGATGAAGAGTCGTCGCAAACGACCGCTGCTTTTAAACCCCAACTACCTCCGAAACTAGAGTGGAGAAAAGAAGATTTACCTTCTCCTGTGACACACAAGACGAAGAAAGAAATACCTTCCTCTGTTATTCCACAAAGAACATTCAATTATACAGATACTATTAGGTTAACTGCGCCCATCCCAGATCCAGAACCGCCGCGAATCTTAATGAACTCTGAGTCGATGGAATCAAGTGATTCTGACACCAGTGATGAGGGAGCTTTAGAGATATATCAACCTAACAGCGTCCAGAACTCCATACCTGTTCCGCCGCCGACTTACCTTAATTCTGGTACATCTAGTCTGCCGTACCAGTTCCAGAGGCCTGCTGTACGTGAGGCGCGTGAAGGGGAAAGTGTTTATTGCTACTGCCGATGTCCTTATGACGAGGTGTCAGAAATGATAGCATGCGATGCCGAGGGATGTCCAATCGAGTGGTTTCACTTTGAGTGCGTTGGTATCATGGTTCCGCCTAAAGGCAAATGGTACTGTCCTGAGTGTAGGAAAAATCAAAGTATTGCAGGTTTCAGATAAGTCTATTGGAAATTTAGGTGTACATATAATTTGGCTGTATTGTTATCTGTATATAACTTATTGACGATTGTAGATAGTTTAGCTTTACCTGTATATCTATGTAGGTAGGTAGTATATAAAGTATAGGATATTAGGTCTGAAAAAAATGTATCATATGTTATAAAAAGTACATGTTATGCTTGAAGCCCGCTGTGTGGCCAACTCTGTAACCTGGCAAATTGTTACTGACATTCACTATCCAGCGAAACGGAAATATAAATCCAATTTTTGATACCAGTACTGCAGTTTTATTTATACAAATTCAATATTATAGCTTGTAAATTTTTGGTTTTTTTTTTATTTTTTATTATGTCGTTTCTCTACTTGTTTCATAGTAGTTGTTTACAGTTGTTAAAATTATAGTATAGTTATGCATCTCAAAGCAATACAGTAGAGTCTCATTAATCCGGCACTATAAAAGACCAGGAGGTGACGGGTTACTGGAATGTTCGGATTACTGGATTGTATAGGGAAGTTCAAGGTAAATAAAGCATGTATGTCATGTTGATGTATGTCAAATCAAATCAAAAATCTTTATTTTCGCTCCAGTAATACTTAAAACTAAATACATTGTTGGAACACTCGTTTTAAGTTAGGAAACTACTAGGAAAACTAACTAACTAGGAAAAGGTAACTTTTTACCTATGTTTTACAAATAAATTATTTGATTTGAAACTGGAGGGAGGAAGAGCGGATCCTGTCTTTCATTTATATAAATTAGTGTTTAGAACTAGGGTAACATAGATTTTTGACTTATAGTATGCAGTAATAAGGCGGTATTTATTTATGACAATCTTCTCCACCATCAGTTTTTTTTAAATCTCCATTTTCTCTTTCAATTCTTGTTGTATGCTATTTTCATGGCAAATCACTACTAGCGCAGCAGCAGGTACGTGATTAAACGAGAGTGCGCATTCGATCTTATATGCCCGAGCTTTCGCTCGTACTGATCAGGCAAGGAGCGACTGAAAGGAGAGGCGCGAACAGAGTCAGCAATGGAGTATGGTGTCTGACTACTCGACGTGCCCATGTACTGAAGTGCCGAAGTAGTGAGACTACTGTAGTAACCTAAGTAACCTAGTAAGTAAATTTTATACTTGGTTTGATACTATTTTATTATTTTTTGCATCGTTGCTACTATTTTTAAAACGAAATGATATCTTTAATGCACTTTGACTTCGTAAAAGTAGGAAGATCTTAATTCAAGTTTTGTTTTTCCTTTTTTATACATAACTTAAGTGATTTTTATTATAACAGTGATATAACAAGTTTTGATTATAAAAGTGGTAGAGCCACGCGGCAGCTTTGCTGTTGCACGTATGGGCCGGCTCAAACCGGGGTGGTACCACGACCTCACAGAATACCGGCGTGAAGTGGAAGCTCTGCTTCCGCGTTTCGTCTGGTGAGTGCAGGTGGCCGGAGGCCCAATTCTCCCCCCCCCCCCATCAACATGGTAGCGGAATTAAATAATGATTGACTACCCCAGGAGGGTACCAGCACCCCTGGAGAATCCCTCGCTGAGCATCCACGACCATGTTTCTCCACTTCTGAGCGTGGGTGCTCAGACTGCCCCGCGTATTCTGGGGGGGGGGGGGGGGGGCAAAATTCCGCTCAAGACTACAACTGCTCGGGGCAAACGGAGCAACAAGACCAAGGCGACCCCTGCCACGCTATCCGTGAATTTCTGCTTTTTTTTTTTTTTTTTTTTTTTTTGGGGGTTTTCGCCGTGTTAGGGATAGAAGGGGAACGTCTTTTTTCCCCGCCCGGCTTTCACTTAATTATCAGGGGACTTCACTCTAACCTAAACGCCGTCCACTACCATCTCGAGACGGCGAGGCCGGCTCTGCTCTTTCTGACCGAGACGCAGGTGTCCTCTCCGGCTGATGTCTCGTATCTCTCCTACCCGGGGTACAAACTGGAACACTCCTTTGTGCCTCGGGCTGGAGTTTGCGTTTACGTCAGAGAGGACATCTGCTCTCCACGCCTCGGCAGACTTGAAGGTTCGGACCTGTCCATCCTTTGGCTACGCGTAGACAGCGACGACCATCCGCGCGTCTACGGGTGCCTCTATAGGTCCCATAGCGGTAATGCCGAAACAGACCGACTATTCGACCACGTCCAAATGGCTGCAGATTCGTTGCTACAGCAGATCCCCTCCGCAGAGATCGTGATCCTCGGCGACTTTAACGCCCATCACGCCGAATGGCTTGGTTCACGTTTAACCGATCATGCGGGGAGATCTGTTCATGATTTTGCCTTGGCATATGGTCTGACACAACTGGTTACTTCGCCTACGCGGATTCCAGATGTGGAGGATCATGCACCTTCCCTGTTGGACCTTCTGCTGACCTCTCACCCGGACGGATATCAGATTTCCGTCGACGCCCCTTTAGGCTCCTCGGACCATTGTCTGGTCCGGAGTGTGGTGCCACTCACGCTGAAATCGCGGTTGCATTCTGCAGGCTGCCGCCGTGTTTGGCACTATAGGTCAGCCGATTGGGATGGGAATGCGGTCTTTCTTTGCATCCTACCCTTGGGGGCGGATTTGCTTCTCGCCGGATGATCCCAACGTTGTTGCGGATTCTGTTGCTGATGTGGTACTTCAGGGTATGGAACTTTTTATTCCTTCCTCTGTGGTGCCCATTGGAGGCAAGTCTCAGCCATGGTTTGGTCGCTCCTGTAAAATAGCATCATGCTATAAGCAGGAGTGCTACCAAGCCTGGGCTGATGCATCAGCGTCCCGGGATGTAAACACCAGCGCTCTAAAAAAGAAGTATAATTCCGCCTCTAGGTCCTTCAAAAGAGTCATTGCCAAGGCAAAGTCAGAGCACATAGGCAGAATTGGCGAGAAACTAGTTCGCCTTCCTTCTCGAACCCGTGCATTCTGGTCTCTCGCCAAGGCTGTCCAGGGGAATTTCTGTCAGCCAACTCTTCCATCTCTGCACAGGGAGGACGACTCACTGGCCCATACCGCAAAGGAGAAAGCCGATCTTCTAGGCTCTTTCTTTGCGTCTAACTCGACTCTCGATGACGGGGGGAGTACTCCGCCGACCATCCCGCGGTGTGAGTGCTCCATGCCGGAAGTGCACTTCACACAGCGCTCGGTTCGCAAAGCACTCCTCTCCCTGGACATCCACAAATCGAGTGGGCCTGACGGAATCCCCCCAATTGTGCTGAGGACGTGTGCTCCAGAGTTAGCACCGGTTTTAACGCGTCTTTTCCGGTACTCCTACTCCCTAGGCGTAGTCCCAAAATCATGGAAGACGGCTTACGTCCACCCGATCCCTAAAAAAGGCGACCGCTCTGACCCGTCCAACTACCGGCCAATCGCCATCACCTCCTTGTTCTCCAAAACAATGGAGTCCATTGTAAACTGCCAGCTCATGAGGTACCTTGAAGATCACCAGCTGATTAGTGACCGCCAATACGGTTTTCGCCGTGGTCGGTCAGCTGGTGATCTTCTGGTCTACCTAACTCACAGATGGGCGGAGGCAGTAGAGTTCAAGGGGGAGGCATTGGCCGTTAGTTTGGACATTGTGAAGGCCTTCGATCGGGTTTGGCACAAAGCGCTTCTTTCGAAGCTCCCTTCCTATGGGCTTCCCGAGAAATTGTGCGATTGGATCACCAGCTTTTTGCAGATCGGAGCATCAAGGTTGTTGTAGACGGTGCAAGCTCCGATTGCAAGCCTATTAATGCTGGTGTTCCACAGGGCTGTGTGCTATCGCCAACGCTGTTTCTTCTGCATATCAATGACATGTTGCATACCCGTAACATTCATTGCTATGCAGATGACAGCACTGGTGATGCTCTTTACACCGGCCGAGCCAATATTTCTCGGGAAAACGTCTCCGAGTGCCGGGACAAACTTGTGTCTGAAGTCGAGTCTCTGCTGGACAGAGTCTCGGATTGGGGGCGACTAAATCTAGTCCAGTTTAACCTCCAGAAGACACAAGTTTGCGCGTTAACCGCTAAAAAGAACCCCTTTGTCGTATCCCCTCAGTCTCAAGGCACTCCCCTTGTTGCCTCAGCCAGTATCGGAATCCTCGGCGTCGACATATCGAGTGACGTGCAGTTTCTTGGTCACTTGGAAGGGAAGGCCAAATTGGCCTCTAAAAAGCTTGGCGTGCTCAGCAGAGCGGGACAGTATTTCATGCCGTCACACCGTCTGCAACTTTACAAGGCGCAGGTTCGGCCGTACATGGAATACTGTTCCCTTCTCTGGGCTGGGGCTCCCCAGTACCAGCTTCTTCCACTTGACCGCATCCAGCGCAGAGCGGCTCGAATCGTCGACGACCGAGTGCTTTCCGATCGGCTCGATTCACTGGCGCTGCGAAGAGATGTTGCATCTCTTTGCGTATTTTATCGCATCTATCACGGGGAGTGCTCTGAGGAATTGCTCGGATTAATCCCAGCCGCCAAATTTCGTGAACGCACTACACGTCAAACGTCCCGATACCATCCACACCATCTGGATGCTTGGCGGTCCACCACTGTACGTTTCACAAGGAGTTTTTTTCCACGTACAACCTCTCTGTGGAATAGTTTACCACCGGCGATTTTTCCGGACCGATACGACTTGGGGACCTTCAAGAAAAGAGCTTACTCCTTTCTAAAGGGCCGGCAACGCACCCGCAATTCTCCTGGTGTTGCGGTTGATCATGGGCGGCGGTAGTCACTTAACATCAGGTGAGCCACATGCTCGTTTGCCCCTTCTTCTATAAAAAAAAAAAGATTTCTCGGTCAGTGAGAGCTTATCGGTTATCGGTGAGTCGGGTAGAGAAAAAAACCACCAACCACTACTACTTTGGAGCTTTGGGCTACTTTGGAGATCAAGGAGTTGATAGTGATAGGTCAGTAGTTGGACGGATCCGAGCGGTCACCTTTTATAGGAATAGTGTGCACTAAGGCTAGATTCTATGAGCCTGAAACGACGCCTATAGAGTAAGAAAGGGAAAAGACAT